CCTTTTTAAATTATACATTTACCATAGCTACCATATGCCAAAAACACACACTGAAGGTTACCACAACCTCTAGTGTGACCTCCAGTGAACCTTTGCTTTCCTATAAAACACTCTCTATGAAGGCTTCCATAGACAGTGTCTTACAAAAGAAAAAAGAAAAATAAAAGAAAACATAATTAAATTCAGAAGCCAGAGACTAAAATAATAAAGAGAGAGAAATAAAGGTAGAAATACAGGTGCACAAGGTCAAGTGTGTGTATGTGGGCAAAAGACAGATGTATGGAGAGACAGGCAGGTGGGAGGATGTTTTAGGGTATTCATGAGTCTGGGCCGTTATCGGTTGACCTTTAAATTGGAGCCGCTGCTCGGCAGGAAACCCGGGGGGCCCGCCTCAGATTTGACTGGCTTGGAGCCCCCAGCCATTGCCTTGCCTTGCCTTGCCTTACTATGCATATATATAAATAAAATTTACATATACAGTAGAATATATAAATTGACTGGCTGTGTTAAAGCAGCAATCATTAAGGGCTATGAAGCATGCTGAGACGGGTCAGGTGGGCTCAGTGAAAGCCGTATGCATGAGGGTGGGCTTGGCAGAGATGTTCTCTTCTCTCAGGGGGCAGCAGTGGCTGAGATGATGAATTCATCACTGCTGTAAGAATCCTGCAGGAGGCTAGATTGGCTTAAATCCCCCATGAGAGGAAGACACGTGACATAGACAGGAAAATGATGAGCCCATAGGGAGCGGGGTATGAAACTTATATTGCATTGCATTGTGTTTGTGCACGTGTGTTCTTATGAATATACTTTTTACAGGAGAAGTGGGTCTCGTATCGGCAGTGATAAACCAAAATGTATTAAGAAGTCTCTCAAAAACATGGACTAGCACTAGATACTAGCAATATGAGCAGACAGATCTCTAGTGTATATGAGCAGATAGATCTCTAGTGTACAAGTATAGGCATACACACACAATCGAGCTGTTGTGAGGAACAACCAGAGACAGCTAAGTTCCTCTACAGTTTAGCCCAGGGTTTTTCAAACTGGGGTATGGGGACCTCTGGGGTTCCACAGCAAAGCAGTATAATATAAACATTCTTTCATGCTGTGAGAATCAAATATTTCAGATATAATCAAATATATATTTTTTAATCGACAGTCATTGATTTAGTGTCAATGCAAAAAAAGGTAAATATTTTCCAGAGAATACTTAACAAATATTTCTAAGATTTGTTTCACAGTACGAATGGCTCTTGATACATTAATATATATGGCCTTTTATAATTTAGGAAAGAGGTCCCCTGCAATGGGACCATTTGTGGCATTAAAAATGGCATCCTGGTCTAGCCATATAAATATAAACCCCAGGACCTGTAATTTTAAGTGATGTCCCAGGTCCTATTTATTACCAATAATTCACTTTTGACTTCTGTGCTCATTTATTAAATATTTTGGCTAATTTAAATACACTATTAGCTTTTAATAAAAGTGTTACACTCTCTGTTCCATTAAACACATTTACCATGCTTAAATCCAGTAGTAAATCCCCCAAAAGTCCACAGATTATGTCTAGGCCTGCTAATCACTTATGAACATGGGAATCTATGTGCATATAGAATGAGTATTTGCATTATATAAGGTCCACATTGCCTTGAGTCACCGTTGCCCTCCAGAGACAGTCTCACAGCGGGAGGAGGTCGCTAAGTGGAGGTACAAAGTTCTACTGGCAACGTGTGATAAAACACACCTGAGGCTAATAGCACCTCTGCACACACAAGGAACAACATAACCAGATCGCCACCAAGAAAATATATCACTCCCACCGCATCTCGGAAACTACCGCCTCACGAGCACAAATATTATTTTTAGTTCTAACAAAAACCTCTCGGAGTTGCATCATTGCCACCACACTATATATGTTTCTGTGTGTGTTTGTGCTTATAAGACTCGTCGGCATTCCCAGCAGGAAGATTCATAGAACCAAAAGGAGTGTATCACAGCAGGTCTGGTGCAGATTAATGTGGAAAGCAGACTAACAGCACAAAGATAATGCAGGCCAATAAAAAAGACGCACACATGCACACAGAGAACAGGAGTGAAGCAGAGGCTAACGGCAGAACAGCTCGGGGTCGTTAAGCATCATTAGCGGGACATTTGTTCACACACATTTGTCAGGAAGCGTCCTGCTAAGCAGGGAGTGTGTTCTCCTCAAGGAGTGTGTACTGGACAGAGGCAAGCAGGCAAGAAATGAAGTTACTGCCGTATGTGTGTGTGTAATCTACTGCATGATGGAGCAAATCTGCCCCTCGTAAGAGACATCACCATGTTTGATTAACAACAGGAATCAACCCAGCCGGAAAACAACAGAAGCATGTAAACTGCATCTGTGATTCGCATACATTAACAGTTCCAGCATATTCAGTAGTTTCAAGTTCAGCAGCACACAAACACGCACACACACAAGCGGAAAATGCTGCACTGCTACAATCAGGAGTTTAACCAAGTTTACATGAAGCTCAAGTGACCACAAAAGCCTTAGAAAACCATGGAAAGTGAAAAAAAGCAAGATGTCAGTGCTACGTATTGATTAAAAGGGTTAAACTTCCAGACTCTTAATGATTTAAACAGAGTGGAATAACATTTGGAAAATGCACATAGAGATAGTTAACTACTCCAGGGTCAAGGAGTTCAGCCTAGAACAAATTTACCACTAATGTTATTTTTAAATGAATAGGCTAGTCTACCCCAAAATTGCAAGGTTCATGTAGCTCTGAATGCCAAGATCGGAGGTTTGATTCCTAGGGAATGCAAACTGACAAAATGTATACTTTAAATGTATTGCAAACTGCTTTGGACAAAAGCATCTACTAATTTCCATAAAAATCCTACTGGATAAAATAATAAATAAATACATAAATTAAATGAAATTATTGATTTTGTTTTATGCTTTTTTTTTACATATGGAAAAGAAGTCTCTTATGCTCACCAAGTTTGCATTTATTTGTTAAAAAAATACAGTAAAACAGTAATATGGGGAAATATTACTACAGTTTACTTTTAATATCTTTAAAAATGTTGTTTATTCCTGTAATGGCAAGGCTAAATTTTCAGCAGCCATTACTCCAGTGTCACATGATTCTTCAGAAATCATTCTAATATGCTTAAGAAATATTTCTTCCTATTATTTTAAAGTTCAGTTTAACACATCCCAGCTGAATACAAATATTAATATTAACAAATATTAAAGAAAGAAACAAACCTTCCTGAATATAAGACAGTATATAACATTTTTAACAGCACTGGAATTACTTTACTTGTTGGCAATGAAAAGAAAATATACACACAAACTGGCCAAATTACACACAACTGTACTCTTGCTTGTGTCATATTGCTTAATTCATGCAAAAATGCAGGACAAATGTAACTTTCAAAATTCAAGATCTGAAAAGCACAGAAAGGAGGACAACACGCATACTTAGACACAACATCACAGTGCCAACAGCTGCATCCTGGGGAACAAAAGACCACGGTGTAGACACAATTTCCCGCTGACCACACTACCACAAGGCACAAAAACACACATACACACAAACATTTTCACATTGTAAAGAGGACCATGACTTACGGTGAGAGTGATCCATTTCAGCACATCCAGAATATTCGCAACCACCAACTCCCCCCAGAGGAATCCAATGGAGAAATCGGATCATTTTTAGCCCAACTTCAATTAACCGCAAGTCTCCAAACATCTCTCTCTCTCTCTCTCTCTCTCTCTCTCTCTCTCTCTCTCATACAATCACACTACTTAACTACGCCACAGAACAAAAAGGTTTGTTTTTAAAACTGCAGACTAAAATAACAACTGCTCATTTCTCAATTTCACAAGATGCACAATGTCTGGTAGTGGCTTATAGCCAAAGAAAACCAATCTAACCAGTCCTGATCTTGGCTTGTAAACCAGGCATTAAACACTTAAGAGACTTTACCTACTGCTAATTCACAGAGGAGATTAGCATGGAGCCTAGAGCTAATGAGAGAAGCTTTCTCTGTTCCTCCAGTGCTCATTCTTTTGCTCAAACAAAACATTAGCAGATAATGTAACGGAATTAAGAAGACAAAAGATTCAAATTGGATATTGATCAGAAGAGTGAGGTGGCAGCATTTTGGCTGGTTAAGCCTGTGATGAGGTGATTGATCCACAATGCTTGTCCTCACGTCTTAAGATGTCTGGCAGGCCTATAGTCTACCTGACAAAGACGGTGAATGGAAGCGTGAAGCGGTCCGACACAGGACACAATGAATACAGAACACTCACATCAGTCCTCAGGACCGTGTTTAAAATGATGACAGAGATCATATGACAAAGAGACACAAATATAACTACACAATCAATGGAAATTCAGGCGCCAGATGATGTAGATTCTTGTATTGGCATGTAGAAAACTGGCATAAATGTTCAGGAATGACGTAGAATGTTTAAAGAAGAGTGACTCAGAACAGTGCCAATGCCTGCTGATCTGAGACCAGCTTTAAAGATCAGAGCTGAAGGCTTGGATCCTGAAAGACAAGCACTGATCTCTAGCAAGACAAGGGCCGCAGGAATCAATGCAAAATCAATGTTAATTGTCAGTGTTTTTCTATGTAGCCAGATCAGAGATACAAAAAAAAGGTTAAACGTAAAACCAAGCAGCAGAAAAAGCAACAAATGTAGTCTTAAAAAACATATTAAAAAATGTATAAAGTAAATTAAAGTCACTCACTTTTATCAAATTGCTGTTTTATAAAAACAATAAGTCACTTTTCCAAGGCACTCCTCTGCATATTGTGCATAAAATCATCCCTTAGAGAAACAAAATATGTGTGTTTTTTACACACAGCCTTGAGAGATTTGCTGATTAAAAATATATATGCAGTATATATTTCACAAAAATTATCTCAAAAGCTAAAAAAAAACTTTTATAAAAGCCTAAAGCAGTTACAAATATGTATGAGTTGCTTACTGTTCATGTTCTTGAAGATGTTCAGGATGGGGAGGATCTGTCTGTAGTACGGGACCAGCGCCTCACCCACCATATCTGCTGACACAACCAGGTGCTGCAGAACCTTCAGCGTGGTGCAGATGACCTGCCTGCTCCTCGTGTTGAGAGCATCTGTAGACAAACACAGAGAGATGAAGAGAACAAGAAAGAAGGTCCAAAACTCTTTGAGGTCAGGAATATTTTGACAATGTGTGAAAAAGAAAATCTACAAAATGTGGTACTTCAATTTTTTCCCATTTTACAACCCTTATTAGAGTGTTATATTTGCACTTTCTTTTTCTCAGTCCAAAAGTTGAAGAACACTTCCTTCACAGGCTCTGTATGCAGTGAGGAAGGCATCAATTCAATTCTACAAAATAGCCTTCATCTGCAGCCTGCATGATATCCCATTATTCTGTGGTTCAGTGGTGTTCACTGGAAAGAATGACAGAGCGGTTGAAAGAAGTAATTTAATTTATTAATATCCATTTTCCATATGATTTAAGCTCTACTGAGAAGTAAGCTTTTGTAGTCATTAAATATATATTTGGTTATCTCTTGAATTATCTCACTTGAATTTGTTTGAGATCATTTATTTTATTTAAATGCCTGAACAAGGCATTTAGGAGGTACCTTTAAATAAAAAACAAAGGGATAGTTCATCGAAAAATAAAAATAATTTACACACACACACACTTTTGTGTTTTGAGTGGCAGGTGTGCTGTACTTTACCAATCATCTCCATTCACTTCCTGCTCTCCTATATCTGTATAACACACTATGAAATTCTAATTACTAAACAAACACGGCAAACTGTTTTCCAGCGGTGTGACATTTGCACCGAAGGAGTGTTCAATAATTCATGGTGTGTGACACGTCTGGAGGAGTGAAGATCTGTTTCTAAATCTCTCTAAATAAAGGAACCATTAATTCCTCCCTCATATTAGGCTCTAAAAATAAATGACCTCACATACCTTCCTTCTCTAAATACCACAGGAGCACGACATTTAGACACTTCAGTAATTGCGTTATTTTAACTCCTGATACAAACATATCTGCAGTCGTTCCAGTGAGAGAGGGAAAAAAAGTGTTCTCATCTATCTATCTATCTATCTATCTATCTATCTATCTATCTATCTATCTATCTGTCTCTCTGTCTGTCTGTCTGTCTGTCTGTCTGTCTATCTATGTTGCAATCAAGAAGGAGGATTGTTCTCTGAGATTGTAATCATCCCACAGGAGCTCATTTATTCTTCATTCTGGGCTTTGATTTGACTAGTGCAGAACATCGACCTTCTGGTTTTTTTGTGTTCTCGTGTGACCTTTGCTGTATGTGTAAGGTCAGTTTTTTTTTTCAATTAGCTTCATCCATTCCTTCATTAATCCATGATTTTCTAATGTATCCTAAGTTTTCTCAGTCTGCATTAAAGAAGCTTATTTTGTCAGTGAGATGTGTCGTGCATTTATTAAGTAGTACATTTTTTTGAACAATAAGACAAGCAAAAATTGACCAAAAAAATTAGCATTGCAAAAAAAAAAACCATTCAGAATAACAAATGCTTTAAACTTCTATATTACATAAACATAAAAGGGGTATTTTTGCTTTGCTGTAAAAACATTTTTATTTTTGTATTTTTTAAACAAAAAATTAATAACAAAAATGATATTCTAGAATTTAAACAGCAACATAACAACTCCAGGCAAAAAATAAAGCACTGAATCCCAATATTGTTTTCATCACACTGGATTCTCCTTCAAATTGTCGAGTCGCTCACATGCCTTTGGCCAAACTCCAGCTGTGATATGCATTTTCAGCATTACCACTTTTCCATAAGCCAGATTTATGTAGCGTGACTTGGAGCCCTTACTATACTGTAATACTGTAATTAATTTAATGCCATTTTTATTTTCTCTTTTGCAAGCTTTGGAATGCTTCTTCTATTCTTCCTCCAAGCTTTCAGATGAAGTGCATGCTCTGTACCAAGGACAGACTGACCCCCATTGAATGATTTTGTGACTTACAAAAAAAAAAAAGAATTAGTTACTTTGGACAGTAATTAGTATCTTGCACAGGAAGAGCTCTAGGGAGCAGGTCTTAATGACACTCACTCTTGATGGGTATGATGAGCTGTGGAATAACAGGCAGGATCTTACTGCCACCATGCTCCAGCATGTCATGGATGCCCTGTCGAGCGAAGAACTCATAGGGGTGAACTGTCTCGCACAATCCGTCAAAAAACAGGGGGAGGTAGTGATGGTAGTCCAGTTTTTCAATCTCCACCTGTTTAAAAAACACAAGCATGCAGGGTCAGTGTTATTCTATGTGTGTCTGTTCACTATGAAATGTAGGAGCTGCTTAAATGAGTGGAAGGCCAAAGAGTTTGTGTGTTTTTTAAATAACCCCTCTTTGCGTCTGTGCTTATATTAGTCTCAACAAATACTCACAAGCTCCAAGCCACATAAAGAGCAGCCCCTGTTTTAGTGCCCCTTAGCATGCCGGCACACATTCTGGAGGGGAGACTGGGGTGGCAGCTGTTCAGGGTCTTTAGAACACTCGAACATGTGATTTCCTGTTGGATCACACGTTCACACCTGTTCTGCTTGTGAATAGACAAGGCCTGTTTCCTTTCCTTGAGAATTTGACATGGTCATACACACTACTGTTTCATTCTTTTCTTCTTTCAGTCGCAAGTCTGTCAGTAGTAGGGTTGGGTACCAAAACCCGGTACCAATATGGCACCGCTACCTTTGTAACCGGAGAAATTCGGAGAACTCTAATACTGTAATAATGTAATTATGCAACTGTAATAATACAAATCCAACCAATCTTTGTAGAAACGAGAGTGTCCATGTTGTTTTCAGATTCCGACTTAAAAGCACAACTCGGGAAATGAGAGCATCCGAGGAGCGCGTGAATGCAGTAATTACACTTGTTCTGATGACAGCAGGTAGCCTTCTGTTAACTAAGCTAAACATGCTTAAATTAAAATGCCTAAAGCTAAACTTCTCTTGTATTCACATTTCTATACCTGTTGTCCAACAAAAGAGAACATTATAACCTTTTTACTCCACAACACCAGTCAAATGCTTCCTTTTGTGATCTGATGTGGCTTCTTGTCACAGAATGAGGCAGAAAATATGTTCCATATGCTACTTTAAAAAGAATACATCGATTAGCAATGGATTATAAATATACTTTATTTATTATGAAAATACCAGAGATGGCTTGAATAACACAGATAAACTATATTGTCGTAGTCGAGTGTTTATTGTTCTTGTTTATTTATTTATATAGCACCATTTAAAACACAACCGAGGTTGAACCAAAGTGCTTTACATAAAAAGTACAAGAATGAAAACAAACATCGACAACATAAAACACCCCATCGGCATAAACATTTTTTTTTTTTTAAACCACCTCAATCATTGTATGCTACCAACATTAGATGTGCTTTCAACAGTTTCTTAAAAATGTAGAGTGATTTGGCAGACCTGATCAGCAGGGGCAACTCATTCCAAAGTCTTGGCCCTATCACAGCGAAGGCCCGATCGCCTTTATATAGTATTGTCTTTGTTTTATCATTCAAAACGTTTATATGTTCTGTTTACTCAGTTACAGATATAATAGAGATGCCTTTGTCCATATAAGGGATTTCCTGGAGGGTCATAAGTTCCGCTACTTCTATATGTGGATTTTCTGTGCGAGGGCGCCCTCTGGCGTCCAGTATGAATGAAACAGAAATCATTAGTGCTAATGGCCAGTCCATCATTTTTGGGGGAATTTTTATGTATTTATTTTTTATTTTTTAATAAGTATCGGTTCAGGCACCATTTAGGCACCAGAACCATTTTAAAAGTATCGATTTGGCACCGGTATCGAGAAAAGAAAAAAAAAGGATACCCAACCCTAATCAGTAGGTTTAATGATGTTGTGTTCACACAATTTTTACATTAGTATTTTGTCTACTTCTGTAAACAAACAACAACAACAAATCATAATTCCCAATTTGCCAACAGAGTAAATAACATATAATTCTAAATATATTATCTAAACAATTTTTTTTATTAAAACAAATTCTTAATCACTTAATCACATGTGCTTCTCAAGTAAATCAAATATTAATATATTTATTAACTAAATATATATTTTTTAAATGTAATATATTATTGAAAAAAATTACTATCAGAACATTAAAAAAATTTATATACATTTTTTTGCATTGTGTAGCTGTTTATTATGTTGTTCTGCTATTGGTTGGTTTTATAGTTTGTGTGTGTCACATGAGCCGTCTACAACTGTTCTTTGTAGACGTAGCGTCACTGATACCAGGAGCTGTGAGCTTAAAAGTGGCTAGACCTCATCAAACCCCTCCTCAGAGATAAAAGCGTGCACACACACACACACACACACACACACACACACACACACACACACACACACACACAAACACCGCATTCATTATAAGCTTAGCAAGAGGGCTGATTGCTTAGAGCCAAATTACTGGCTAACTTTGACCTTTTCTGACTTGGACAAGATCATCTTGGTGATTCATACAGCAAAACTCGAGTACAAAAGCAAATATGTGCGGTGCGCTGGTAGAGAGACGATACACACACACACACACACACACACACACACACACACACACACACACACGGAGGCTGAGTGGGGGGTAGGAACAGGAAGTTCTTTATAGTGGTAGTGTCACTGATACCAGGAGCTGTGAGCTTGAAAGTTGCCAGAACCTCATCAAACCCCTCCTCTGAGATAAAAGCGTACACACACACACACATACACAAACACACATGCGCACACACTCACAAACACAGCATCATAAGCTTAGCAAGAGGGATGATTGCTTAGAGCCAATTTACTGGCTAACCTTGACCTTTTCTGACTTGGTCAAGATCATCTTGGTGAGTCATGCAGCAAAACTTGACTACAAAAGCAAATATGTGCAGTGTGCTGGTAGATAGACGATAAACACACACACACACAGAGGCATAGTGGGGATTCGGAACATGAAAAGCGAGACACATGCAGCTAACCACAGACAGATGTCTCACATCACAGGGGTAATGTCTGTGGGACACAATCTGCCTGTAGCATTAATCACTGGAACACTGCGAATGTACAGTATGTGTGGGTGGGTCAGGTTTCGCCTACAATGTGAGGACTAAATGTTCAAACATGGATATTAAAGCACCAACTAGGGGTGGATGATCTTTCCAAAATATCATAACATGATCTTATAACGCAAAATCCTGATCCACGATCTGAATCGCGATCTTCCCAATTTTGAGATGTACAATCGAGAATATCCAGACTGGAACAAGCCTATGACTTACCTATTTCCCAGTGGCGGGCCATGCATTTTACACCTAGGCCTTCAGTGGCGTCCTAGCGTTACATGAATTAATCCATCTCTTCATACCATCATAATGATGCCACGGCTATAGAAACCATAAATATTACACAGTAATGCAGTATAACAGGGCACTACATAACAGAGAGGTATCTTATGTAGCGAGAATGAATGCCATTACTAAATAAAAAACCCAATTAACAATTGCGCAACACATCATCTGTAGCTGAAGCATTAACCTAACAAAATGACACAAATACAGTCCATCCGATGTTCTTACAGATATTTATTCACCCAAACGCATTTAAACCTTACAGATAGCATTGGAATAAAACAAATAAGGTGATTACATGTGTTTTAAAGTTGACCTAACAATTTAATGTTCTCTTACTGCTTTATTTCGTCTTCACGAGTCTCCCCGCCAGTCTGCCAGCGCACTTCGGGAGGAAAATACTGGTTAGCACAGCTTTACTAGCAAAGTGAGCAAGTAACATTAAAATAATTCACACAAGACGATGAAGAAAAGTGTATACATGTGTTTTAACGTACCTCTGTGACTCTCATCTCCCCGCTGGTCTGCCTCTGCCAGCGGTGCTGCGGCCGGAGGAAAAGACCACTTAATACAGCTCCACTCAGGAAACTGAGATATTCTTACGGAGACTTAAACCTGGCTTTATATCGCACAAATAACATCAGCATACAACGCATCAAGCGATAAAAGAGTCAAAAATGAAAATTAAGCTACCATACTCTAGTGGTTTTTCATCTTCACGAGTCTTTCACAGAGTCGGTGCTGAGGAGGTGTGTGGTTGTTTATCGCAGTCATTAGGACTAACCTTACTGTTTTTAGATTTACTAAATATAGCAGGCAAATATTTTTTTCAAAATGCACTGAAAATCTAAACCTGAGAAACAGTAATACAAGTTTTACTAAAATGATTTACAGTAATGCTGTTTGCTAGCTAGTACGCTGACCATCCAATCAAAGGAGGAGAAAATGCTGACGTTATCGTTAGCCAGCTAGATGGCCCTGGTGCTGCCAACTCGAAATCTGATTGGTTAAAGCAACGGGTTCATTGCCATTGATTTAAGCTAACAGACGCCTGCACTGTGGATTCTGAAGGCCTTAAGGCAGATTTCTTTGACCCTGGCAACACGATTGCTGAAATATGATTGGATAAATGCTCTAATATAAATATACACTGCTGGAAGCAGTGCAACCAAGAGAAAAGCTATGAAATGAAGAGAATAGACTATTGGAAATAATTAAATACACATTCATGGAAAAATATATTAAAACTAAATCAGTGATTCTGATAGTGTTTAGGCCAGCAGAGAAGGCTTTGCTGGCCCTGACGGCCCACCACTGCTATTTGCACAGTTTAAAAAACACAGCACTGCATTAAACAATCAGTTGTCAAAATGGTCATTAGAACCCGAGTTCAACTTTAAAATATTGCATCACAGGAACAGGCTCTTTCGTAGTTAATGTGTTTTTAATACATCTTTTTAAAATAAAGCATGTCCCGCAGTAAACTCCCTTTTACGACAGTCACGTTACATGATTTGACTTATTTGGGCATTAAGCTTTTAAGGACAGGCGAAAGCGCACTGTTTTAAATGAAAAGATTGGCAAGCAGCTCAATGATCTTTTTATTCAAATTGAAACAAAAATTGAATTCATCTCACTACTACTGCTAGCTCACGTTGAACTGTTTTTTGCATGATGTAATTTGGCCAGTCATAGCCATCTAGTAGGCAGTCACTGCTGTAGTTTTAACATTATTACAAGAACATCTGCGATTCACTTGAAAAGTAGATTGTATACGTCTTCAAGATCGATCACGATGTCGATCTCAGATCTCAGATCTCAGATCTCCAACCCCTAACACCAACACTGCGGGATCAGGCAACA